TGGTTCACATCTCAGACTCTCTGAAGCAGAAACTGTGGAGGAGATGGCCCAGCAATCTGTTTTAGCAGGCAGTCCAGGTGGTTCTGAGGCACTGCAGTCTGTGTTGCTCACCTCCTTTCTCACCTGCTGACTCTAGTTATCTTACTAAACAATGCCTTCCCAGTAGAGTTGCCCTCTCTTCCTTGTGCCATCTCTTTTATAGCATTTACATCACTTGCATATGTCTATCTTTGAAGGCAGAGGCCACACCATAAATTACTTTTTCATCTGCATACAGCACCTATCTCAGTGATAAGTTAATAGGTGGTGGTGAATAAATGAATGTATGCATGAATGAAGGAAGAGAGCATCTTAGGGGGAGTGATGATCAATAAGGTCAGCTGCTATGGAGAGATCATGGAGAATAATGAAGGAAAAAAGCTATTGGATTTCACAGTAAGGCAGGTGTTGGTGACCTTTGAAATGCTTGCCTCAGCAGAGTGATGGGCAAGAAGCCCAGATTACAGGGAGTTAGGGACTCCCAGCATGATGAAAACTTGCAAGTTTCTTACTGTTTATCTGTACATGTCGTGCAAACAGAATTTACCTGTGGTGAAATTGTTAAGTGACCTTTGACCAGTTACCTAGCCCCATTGAGCCTGTGATCTTGGAATAGGTTACAATTGTAATATGTTGTGTTTTAATTAAGAGATTAAACTTATGAACTCCTAGAATGATACCTGACATATAGTTGATGCTTAAATAGTAATTTCCTTTACCCTCCCTCACCATTATTTTTCTTTACTAATGCAGTTGAAAACATCACCCTTTGTCAATATTTTATAAGATACGAATTTTTTTAGGATACTTCTCATTCCAGGCATTGCAGAAATTATAAATTGCATTTGGCCTGAAACTAATGCACCTTTAGTTGAACCACTGATAGCATGACAATTACATGTTATCCAGCCGGAGAAGTACCCTAAATGGTAGCTGTAGGAAATGCTATTTCAAGGAAAGAGAGAGGGATTATGTTTTTTATGTAACTGAAGATTCTAGTAGTGATAGTATCAACCTAAGACACTGTCGTATCTTCTGGATCAAACAATATTGTTTAATATTATGAGTAGTTGATCTTTTTTTTAGATCATTTTGCAGCCTAGTTGATTCACATTCTCAATGTGTATTTGTTAGCTAAAAGTTTAAGAGAAAAAAGAAGAAATTCTCAGCATTTCTAACTAAAATCCTGGATTCAGTCTCACTTTCTAGACTTTGGTCACTTGCCTGTTCTTGAACCATTCTTGATTCCAGGAGGGAGGGATATACTTGTTTTCCAGGACTGGCTAAATATTACTCAGTTCTATGAAATATTGATTCTAAGGGTGGGAGGAGCAATTCCCTAAGGAGAATTCTAGTTTCTATCCCCAGATTGAAGGGGAATGAACACAGAGCAGGCAGAGCAATTGACATTTGTCGTACTGTATAGAAAAGTGCTTTTCATATGTTTCCAGGGTCTGCTCTAGTGAGATACTTAAGCAAGTTGAAGAGGAGAGTAACAAATAATTGGAAGTTCTTTAATCCATGCTCACTCTAACTTTACTGAGAGAAACTCACTTTTATATATATTTTTTGTACCCAACTTCTGGTTGAGATTTCATTTGGAAATGGAATCATGGTAACACTTGGCTATAAAAAAATTTTAGGTAATGTTTAAACCTATTAATATTAAAATAGGTGACAACTTTCCCCACTCCATCCTGAAGAAGAAGTTATTGCCCTGATTCTTACTCACCCCTTTGACCTAACTCATGTACCTGACACTACAAGATTCAAAACCAAATGCTCCACAGATATATGATGATCATGAAATTACTCCAAATCCCAGTTCAGTTTGTGGATATCATGACACTTAAATGTCATTGCTTAGCCTTTGTGCCTTCAAGGATACCTTCCCAAATATTGTCACAATCATGCTGAAAATTACAGCTGGTATCTCCAAGTTAAGCAGTTTATTGTTTACATCCTCACCTATGACTCATCTTCTAGATAGTCGCTGCTGCCTGAACTAGAGTGTGTGTATTTTTACCAGGGATTGAACCCCAGGATAATCTACCACTGAGCTTCATTTTCAGCCCTTTTTATCTTTCATTTTGAGAAAGTTGCCAAACTTGGAATCCTCCTGTCTTAGCCTCCAGAGTAGCTAGAAGTCGCTGGGGTTATAGGAGTACACCACTGTACCCTTTAGCTTTTTCATTATCTACTCTTAGGACTTTTTCATTATTACTGGCCTCAAATTTTCAACTCTATATCAGGGCCTAAAACTGCCCAGGTAGCCTGTTTCTGTGAATAAAGTTTTATTGGAACACAGACTTACCTATGTATGGCTGCTTTCCTGCTGTAACATAAGAGGTGAGTAGTTGAAAAAGAGAATGTGTGGCCCACAGGCCTAAAATATTTACTTTGTATTGGGCCTTTATAGAATAAGTTGTTGGCTCCTGCTGTATATTTATGAATATATATCTGTATCCCTTCTTTCTGACATAGCATATAACCATGAAGAAGAATTGGGTAATATCTCATTGGAGTTCCAAAAACTGTTTTGGTGGAAATATTTTTGCCTTACCTGTTTTACCTGTGCTCTTACAATTGTCTAAACTCTTTTCTGTACCCTCTCTGATTTAGTTCTCTTCATCTTTTCGAACCACCAGACTTTTGCAGTGATTTGGGAAAGAGAGGTGACAGTTTTCTTTGCAGCCCTGGAACATAGTTTTCCCTTCTCCTGTGTACACTTAATGCAGACACAGAGTACCTAACACACTCTTAAAAACCAGGATATGCTGTCTTTTCCCCCCTGAGGAATCCTCTTAGTTTCATAGTTGTTGTGGCCATAGCAGTGTATTTTACAAAGAAGTATTTGGTGAGGTTCAGGAGGGTGGTGAAATGGGGGAGGAGCAGAATTCCCCTAATCCATCACTCGATTCTGTAAGCAGATCAGCCACTCATCAGAAGGCTGCATGGTTAAGCTGTACTTGAAGAAGAACAAGGATAATAATACCCCTTTCCTGCTGTTTTTGCAGCCTAAATGCCCTGTGGAGTGAGAGAAGACTTCAATCTCTAGGCTTGTGAATCCCTTATCTTTCCCAAACGTTAAATTAATTTTTAAAGCTATTTATTCAAAGTTGACTTAACCACTAGAATAGGAAAGATCAGACAAATCAGCTGCAAGAAATGAAGTATGAGGAAACCCGAACTCTTTGACAAAGTATTCCTGGGAGTAAATGTGTTGAATGAAGCCAGCGGGTAAATGATAAGGGCCTTTACACTGTGGATGTAAGAAAGCAATTTATCAAGAGTACATGAACTCTCCAGTGACCACAAGTCAGGAGGAAACGAGAGTGGAGGAGGAGTTCTGAAAAAATACATTAGAAATACTGAAAAAAAAAAAAAAAACCTGTGTGCATGTACTTTTGAATTCCTCCATTATTATGTGCTAATACTGGTATGTTAAAATAGGGGTTGCTCAGATTTTACACATACTGTTGCTCATACTGTTACAGGGTGAGGTTTTAGGAGAAGCACTACAGAGAGGCCACACTATAGCTTAGAATTTGAAGGACACTGAGGTCCTCTCAGGTGTAGTTGTGATGTGGGCCAGGATGTTCTTCAGTATCCATTTGCCTGACTCCAGAGGTTAGATGGCCATCTTTCAGATATACATTTTACTCTCTTTTGATCTCCTAAAGAATATATGTGTGGGCTGGGGTTGTGATTCAGTGGTAGAGCTCTTGCCTAGCATGTGTGAGGCACTGGGTTTGATTCTCAGCACCACATACAAATATATGAGTAAAATAAAAGTCCATCAATGTTTAAAAAAATTTTTAAAAAGAATATATGTGTATAATTCTGACAGTTAATGGCAGCACCTTTTGTGTTTTCTTAAGAAGTTCTAGGTGGCTCTCACTCATCATCTCACTAGTCTTGGCAACATCCCTTTAAGTCCCATAACTGATATGGTATAATCTTAGTCATTCACACTGGAGAAACTGAGGCAAAATGAATCGTATTTATAAGGAATAGGGTTTCCTGTAACTCAGATATGGGTTAGAACTAGAATTTTCGACCTTAACTTAATAAGGCTTTTTTTTCCTCCCAAGGGAGAAATGTCATTTCTTAGATATTAGAAGAGGAAAGCCCCATTGTTGAACTATTAGTTTCATTGAAATACTTATTTGAAGAATGATCATCCTCAGTTTTCTCTATTGAGAATTATTAATGCAGTTAGATGGATTTCCCAGATTTTTATTTTTACTCATTTATTTTCATTCTCATCTGACAGTCTTGTCACAATTTTTAAGAAAGTGACTAAATTATGACTTGAATATTTTCTATAAATAACTCCCAGAGATCATGCCAGTGAAGAAAAAACTATCTAACAAGGGAATAAGAGAGAAATTGGGAAAACTAAGTTTTCAGGTCGTCTCCCTTAGCTAGTTTGAGTTAAATTTCTAGCCTTCCACATAGGTGTTAACTTTCCTTTTATTCCTACAGTCTAAAGAACACACTCATCCTCCCCTTTAAACTATTTAGGTGAATCTCATTTTTTAAAAAAATGGTATTAGTTAGGCTCCTCTTACTGCAGCATAAGTTAGGAATTATTTTCCTTTTTTTCTGAAGAAATAGTAGACACAACAGAAACCTGAGTTGAGCTGTGATTTGGCTGGCAAATTAATTACTCAGGTTTATAGAGCCAGCCCCGGTCATTTAAAAACATTCTTAGTGACTATCTTTCTGAAAGTTGAATGTGTTTGCTATTTACTGTTGTCTGCAATGTATGAACACCAAATCCAAAAAAGAAAGATAGCAAAATCGAGGAGGAGAGGAAATATCACTTAAACATCCATGGTTGTAATTGTCTATAGAAGTGGAGCCCTGATGACATTCAGTTGTGTATCTAACTCCTCTGTCCTTTTCATCTCTTTATTCCCACCCCTCACTCTGGAACATTGGTGGGACGACTGCAGCCTTGGATAAGCTCAGCACGCAGCACCTGTACCACCCCACCCAAGTGGAGATTGTGCAGTCCAACGTGGTGTTTGACATCAGCAGCCTGATGCTCTACGGGACACAGGCAGTGCCTGTGCGGCTAAAGATTCTGCTGGACCGGCTCTTCAGTGTCCTGAAGCAAGAGGAAGTGCTGCACATACTGCATGGCCTGGGCTGGACTCTGAGGGACTACGTCCGGGGATACATCCTTCAGGTAGGGGAGGGCCTGAATGCCAGTGTCTGGACCAGCTCTTGGAGGGTTGTGTAAGAGCCCTGGGTGTGCTTGGTCTCCTACCTCTTCCTCACAAACCCAGGTACAAACACTCTCCTCTGGTCAGCAGAGTGTTCAGGACATTGGAAGGAAGATGGCAGTCCAGAAGGCACCACTACACCTCAGTGGTGTGTATTAGAAAGGGGAAAAAGGGGTCTGTTGACTAGTGTTCCTTTGTATCTTTTGAATTCAACCCTTTCTGCCTATAAAGTGGACTTTCTTGTTTCTGGAGTAAGTCTTGTAAGAGCCCTTATTAATAGGATGGGATCTTTGAGGTGGATGGTGGGCGTATAAAAATCCAGGATTATACGCACATCTGAATTTAGTAAGGGTTTTCCTCACACTCAGTTAGGTGGCTTGGTGTTTTTATTGATTGTCACTTACCCTAACTATTTATTGTTTCTGTATCCAAATCAAAGGAGGAACTGTGACCTATGTGAACTCCCTGCTTTGTGTAACTAGACAACCCTCACATCATAGCCTTCTAAGTTTCACATTCTAAAACATGGTCATAGACTTGGTCTTTACAGTACCTGTTCTTCTTCCAGCTAGGAGCCTCTGCTTTGTGTCACTGACACCTTTGATCTGGTCAGGGCCTTCAGGCTTACCTGGGAGGCCCACAGCCTCCACCTTTCATCCCTTCCAGGACCCTCTCCCCATCTTTCTTCATCTTTTGTTTTTTTCAGTATGTCATGGGTCATTTTGCAATGTATACTTTGCCTCTGAAATGTTTTTATGGCCCTCTGCCTTCCTACAATCCTTGAGGTGTAAATGTTGAGAACAGCATTTTGGGACACCCTGGATCCAAAAGTACAACCCTGGATGATGAAGAAGCACCGTCCCCTGTTGAAGGAGATCTCAATTTGAGAAGGTAGAATCTGAAGTGGTTTTTGTAATTTCCTTTGGAGATATTACCAGTAGAATTGGTATCACATACACAACAATTGTTTTTGACTGTGCAAGGATTGTGTAGTGCCAGAGGTAATTCACGATGTTTATGACCTGAACCACCCTGTGTTACATGTAAGGCCCTGGCTGCCAGCTTGGGTGGGGAGCTCAAGACTTCTCCTTGATTTAACCTGTCATCAGAACACACCAATTCCTGTCATTTCTCCCATGTGGCACCTCTAGGTTTTAGTCGGGACAGGAGAGCAGAAGAGGGTTGGTGAAGAGAAGTGGAGAAAGAGAAAGTGACATAACCTATCAGCTCTCTGAATAAAGTCATATCTTTGTTTAGTGGGCACCTCAACTTGAAAAGCATAGAAACTTTGACCCTCAGAAAGTCTGATGAGTTGAGGGTGATAATAATAATTATTACATTTTACATTTTCAGTTTATAGTGCACATTCACATCATTATTTCATTTGCCCCAGGATGGGGGGCATTATGAGTAGATAAGTCCTGGGTAGAGAAGGGAGATGAAGAGGTATGCGGTCCAGGAGGAAGGGGCCAGGAAAAATAAGGCATAGACCAATTTCATTCACAGTCCCTACTTATACTGGCTCTGAGACCTATACAGTGCCACATCCTTCTACAGTCATTTCTACAACGTGATTGCTAATGTCTGAAAGAATTTTATCATGCAAGAAGGAAGAAATGTCTTAGGGATGTTTAAATGCAGTCTGTCTTTCCTTTATTCAAAACCTGTAAGTATTTTTGCTCCAATCGAATACCATGTTCACTGTCTCCACTCTGATGCCTGCTTGTATCATCAGTGCTGTGTGTCAGTTCCACATGTACCTTTTGCCTAAGATAGCGGAAGCATATGCATTGTGTCATTCTATTCAAACAGTTAGATCTGTGCATGGCTCTGCAGATTTACTGCAAAAACAACCCTGTAGCACCTTGCTATAGCATTTTGACAGCCATATAGAACCTGCTGGTTTTTCGATGGTAGGGTACTACTGTCCTGCCTTGACTAGATGTTTTGTTTTTTCTTTAAATAATTACTTAGGTATTAATTTTATCTCAACATATCTTTAAGTCAAATGTAGAAAATGTACTTTAAAATGTACTCTGTATTTCTATTTGGAATGAAAGTCCAAAATTTCAAGATAAAAAATTGCAAATGAAATTAAGTGAGAAAGAAAAATTCAGCAAAAACAACAAACATGTATGAAGTCTTTCATTTGGGAGTAAAATATTAATTATATATAAAGAACACTGTCATTTATTGTGATGCTTAAATTATAATTAATACAAATTTTTACAAATCTCAAATTTAATATAAATAGTTCTTCAGTTAGAGTCTACAATTGACATTTTCAGAAAATCAGATTTTTTTTTAATTAGAGGAACTCCAAGTTAGTTTCTGTCTTGTTTTATTGATAGAATTGATGAAATATAGATTTTATTTAAATGATGCTTTTTGTCATTCCACATTTATAATATGCTTGTTCCTTGTGGAAATGGTGCTTGGGTTAGAAAAAAAGTAAAAGGTTGTAGGACATAAAACCATTTTCAATCATTTAGTGAGAAAACACTCATTTTCAAAAAGAAAAAAGAGTTAGTCTATAAAAATAAACCCCTTTCTTCTAAAGCTGTTACTTGATTATTAGCCAATACTTTAAAAATTATATGTGCTAATGATAAGGTATGCACAAATGACTTTGAATATAATTATATATGGCATTTTTGTGCAGGTAGACTATAAAATGTGCATCTGAAGGCCGTGAAACCCTATAATGCACTATTAGTGAACAAGTCATTTTATCTGGCTAAAACTCAATTGTCTTGTAGCCCTCAAGGCATCAATTTTAACATTATTGCTCTCAACAACAGTATATCGAATATTATGTCAGTTAAAGGAGAATAATTATCAAGGCAAGTTAGGGTGGCTGTTAGTCTTACCACATATTGACCTGGTTAGCAGTTGGCTATAGATTGTGTTACTGGGCAAATGAAGATGTACGGTAAGTTGAACTGGTCAAGCCAGGATATTAATTTAACTCTCTCTGGACCCAAACCTACCTCCCTTATGTATATACAGTTACTCTGGCCTTCAGAAATAGTTTTGAATGTGGAAAAATAGCAGATGCGTAATCTGATTCTGGGGTTTTGGCCATGGAAGAAAATGAGAATTAGGCTATTCTCCAAACCATTTGAAAGCTATCATTTTTGTTTTTGAAGAAGTTCTTAAAAGAAAATGGAAGATGATAGAGATTCATTGAAAAGACTGGTGTATTTGTTAAGGATCCTGTTTTTTTTTAATGTCATATTTTTGGTATATTTTTGAGTTAGAGGTGGACATAATACCTTTATTTTACTTTTGTGTGGCACTGAAGATTGAACCCAGTGCCTCACATGTGCTAGGCAAGTGTGCTCTACCACAGAGCCACAACCCCAGCCCCTAGGATCCTGTTTTTGTTTTTCGTTTTTAATTAAAAACTGCCTTTCACTTATATGATTGTCTAAGTAATTTGTAAGTTAACCAGTTGGATGTATAATGCAGAAGATGAGTTACAATTATTTAAGAATCTAGGAAATATCTTAAAGGTGAAAAAATCCAGTATTTTCCTGTGCATTTATCTAAGTATTCATTCAGAAACCATAGAAGAAATCAGGTAAATTATGGGAATTTTCCCAGAACAAAAGAAAAATGGGAATACATAATTAGATGCTAAAATCTAAATATAAGGGAGCGTATGATGCTTTTCTGCTACTAAATAATAATTCTTATTTCAGGTCAGACTCTCATGGTACATTTATTGATGACCAGTGAAAGCAGTGTCCTGCAATTTACACCTCTCCCCATTTCCCCTATCTTTGAAATAAGAATATAGGTGATCATCATTGTTGAATTTAGTCATTTAAAAATCAGATTTTCACATCATCTCCTTTCAGTTTGAACACACAACTAACTTGTCTGGGCTCCTACACAGCCTGTCTATGGAAGTCTGATGTGAGTGTGTCCTGGCAGAATTCACAGAACCCGTTCAGGTATTCTGAAAACCAAGCTCATGAGAAGTGCAGCTCCTTAACACACATAGCATTTCCTCAACTTTGGAGTGTTTGTAAGGTTTCTTGTGCTTGGTATACCCTACTTCTCTGTATGGGTAATTTCTTGTCATTTAGGTGTCAGCCAAAGTCCCACTTCCTTACAGAGGACCAGCTGAACCAATGGAAATCTTTTCTGGTGTAGCTCTATCTGAGGACACTTTTCTTTAAGCTCCTACCAAAAATCAGTAAAGTCAAATTTTAAATGTTGCTCCTTCCTTTTACTCTAGGGAATTCCACAAACACAGGGCACTTGATGAATATGTGGCTAAATGAATGGGTGAAGAACCCTGTTTAACTTGGTATGACCTGATATTTCACCATGACTCATGGAAGACCCAACAACTTCAATTGGTCCAAGGATCCTTGGACTTTCTCGAGCCTTCTCTGGGACTGATGGTGGTGGGGCTCTTGAGAGCAGTAAGAAGCCAAGGTTCCCATGCCTCCTAGCTAGCACTCTGTATAGAATAAGTGATTTGTGGTATCAGTGGTAGAAAACATCAATATTAAGCAAACAGTTATATTTAAACAGCCATTGTGGAGCAGGTTCACATAAGTTTGTTCTTTGAATACCCTTATACTCTGCTTTCATTTGTTGCCAAAGAATTAACATTTGGTATAGTTGAGGCTCAAAGTGTCAGGTGACTTTCCCAAGATCATAGACATCACTGACTGGCACAGTTTATGTACTGTAAACTTCCTGAAACTAAGAACCATTTTTTTAAAAAATATTTTTTAGTTATACATGGACACAATATCTTTATTTTACTTATTTTTATGTGATGCTGAGTATTGAACCCAGTACCTCACATGTGCAAGGCATGCACCCTGCCACTGAGTCACAACCCCGGCCCGCCCCCTGCCCCCCTGCACCTTTTGTGGCAGTAGTGGGGATTGGACACAGGGGCACTGTACCACTGAGTTACATCCCAACCCCCTTTTATTTT